GCCACGCCGGGGCAAAAAAAGAATGCCGGGCACGCGGGGGATAAGGGGAGACCCTGTCAAAAAAAAAAAAAAAAAAAAAAAAAAAAAACAAACAAACAAACAAAAAAAACAAAAAACAACCCAGAAAAGAAATACACCATTTCAAAGACAATACAGAGGGCCAGGGAGATAACTCGGTAAAGACTTCATCTGATGACCCGAGTTCAATCCCTGGAACTCACGGAAAGATAGAAAACACATTCCACCAAGTTGTCTTCTAACCTTCACATATGTAAATACATCACACACAAACAACAAAATCAATATAAGTCTAGCAATATAGGTCAGTTGGTAGAGTGCTTGGCTAACATTTACAAAGACTTAAATTTAATTCTAAGTACCACATACACCAAGGATGGTGACATATACTTGTAATCCCAGCAATTGGGAGGCAGAGTTAAAAACCAGCCTGGGTTACATGAGACCATCATCTCACAAAAAAGAAAAAGGTAGGTGGTGGCGCACGCCTTTAATTCCAGCACTCGGGAGGCAGAGGCAGGTGGATCTCTGTAAGTTCAAGGCCAGCCTGGTCTACATAGTGAGTTCCAGGACAGCTGGGGCTACAGGGAGACCCTGTCTCAAAAAGACCGAAAAAAAAAAAAAAAAAAAAAAAAAAAAAGAATAAGACTCAGACTCTATTCTGGAGAGATTTAAAATACAACCACAGCACAGGAACTATATGTTTGTTTTGTAAAGGTGAATTATGTAAGAGGGAATAATCAGTGATGAGAAGAGTAGACTTGGGTTGGTCCTAAAGGAATAGTAGTGTTGGGCATGTAGCTAGGGACAGAAGGCTTACCTAAAACAAAACAAAAAAACTGCAAAACCCCACAATACCAGGAACCAAACACAGAATATTATCAATATATCATTTAGTATTAACAGCTTTAGGGAGAAATGAAATAGACACTAGAAAAATTAGAATGGTTAAGACTATGATGTTCTTCAGATTTTATCTTGTAGTTACTGGGATTCATGAAAGTTTTTATCCTCTCATAAGCTGAGAATACATATGTTTACCATTCTACATATTTATTTATTTTTGGTCTCTTGAGACAGGGTTCTCCCTGTAGTTCCATCTGGCCTGGAACTCAGAGATCCACCTGCCTCTGCCTCCCAAGGGCTAGGATTAAAGGCATGTGCCACCATGCCCAGCCTTATGTTCACCACTCTAAAAACTTTTAAAGAAAGTTTTGAGAGCCAGGGCTGGAGAGATGGCTCAGCAGTTAAGAACACTGACTGTTCTTTCAGAAGACCCAGGTTCTAATCCCAGCACCCACATGGCAGCTAGCAACTGTCTGTAACTCCAGTTCCAGGGGATCCAACAACCTCTTGGAATCCGACAACCTCTTCTGTCCTCCAAAGGCACTGCATGACTTGGGTGCACTTACCTACATGCAGGCAATACACACAAACACATAAAATAAAAATAATAAAATATTAATTAAAAAAAAGAGCACTGACTGTTCTTGCAGAGGACCCAGGTTTGATTCCCAGCACCCACATGGTGGTTAACAACTGTTCGTAGCTCCGGTTCCAGGGGAATCTGACACTTCTTCTGATCTCTACTGGCATTGCACGACATGGGTACACTTACACACATGCAGGCAATACACTCATACACATAATTAAAAAAAGGAAAAAAAAAGTGTGCTCACTTCGGCAGCACATATACTAAAATTGGAATGATACAGAGATTAGCATGTCCCCTGTGCAAGAAGATATGCAAATTCATGAAGTGTTCCATATTTAAAAAAAATGTTTACAGAGCCAGGCACGGTGGCTCACACCTTTAGTCATAGCATGCAGGAGGCAGAGGCAGGCAGTATCTGTGAGTTCAAGGCCGGCCTGGTCTATATAGAGTTCTAGGTTGGTTGGGGCTACAAGGAGACCCAGTCTCAAAAAAAAAAAGTTTCCAAGATGCTGGGCATATTGCTGCTCATCTTTCATTCCAGCAGAGGCAGGCAGGTAGATCTCTGTGAGAACAAGACCAGCCTGGTCTACATACTGAGTTTCAGGCCAGCTGAAGATACAGGGAGACTCTGTCTCAAAAACACCAAAAAAAAAAAAAAAAAAAAAAAAAAAAAAAATTCTGAGTGATTAAGAATAGTGGCTGCTCTTCCACAAGTCTAGGATTTGGTTCCCAGCACTCACATGGTGACTAACAACTGTCCTCAACTCCAGTTCCAGGGAATGGATGCTCTCTTCTGGCCTATACTGGCATGGCATGACCCAGGTACACTAACAAACATGTAGGTAAAACACTCATACACATAAAATAAAAATAAATTTTTTAAAATTAAAAGTTTTGGCCAGGTATGCATGGTAGCACTTGTCTTTAACTCCAGGACTCATGAGACTGAGGCCAGCCTGGTCTACATAGCAAGTTCCAGGCCAGCTGGAGCTATATGAAGACTCTGTCTCCAAAAGACCAAAAAATAATAATAAATAAAAGTTTTCTGACCTATTCATATTTTGCAACTAGAATGAACTCTTTTATTGTCTCTTGGTGTTTATTTTCTAACTCTAAGTAGAATATATAATGGAAGTTGATCCTTCCACTCTACATGTTAATGATTTCTATTTACCTCACTTTCACAATATAGTCGTAGCACATTAATTAGACCTACTTGACATAAGACAGTTTTTGTTCATTTAAGACAGGGTCTCACTCTGTAGCCCAGTCAGGCCTAGAATATGTAGTCCAGGCTAGCCTTGAACTAGCTATTTTTATTTCTCCCTTTTAGTTACTACTAACTCATGACCAAAACTCTTCCCCAACTGTCTACTAAAATTTAAAGCATATCATCAAAAACATACAAGCCCCAATTCATTAACTTACTAAAAATTTCTCTGAAAGCATTTTCTATTGACACCTGCCTGATTTTTCTCTACTCTTGGTCCATAGCTTCTCTCTGGGGTCAACCTCTGCTGCTGTCCTCATGCATCCTTTAAACTTTGCTGAGCTGGACCCACACTGTCCATTTCCCAAATGGTGCTCATTTTAGTGGGACAAACCTCAACAACTGCCTGGGAAATAGAGTTTAATGAAGTAAAAGTTTCATAATCTTGCAAGCTTGAATATGTCTATTCTGCCATCACAGATAATCAACAGTTTGGCTACCTTGCCAACAGGCAGATTGCTTCTCTTTTAGAATTTTAAACACACAATGTCTTTGTCTTCTAGTTTTAATTGCTGCTGCTGAAAAGCCTGAAGTCTTTCTGAACCTCATCCTCTCTACAAAGTTCACCCATGTTATTTTTCCCTCTGACAATTTGTAAATTTTCCTTTCAGTTTTTGTTTTATTTTTTTAGAGAGGGTTTCCCATTGTCCCATCTGGCCTGGAACTCACTATGTAGACCAAACTGGCCTCAATCTCACAGAGATCTGCCTGTTCCTGCTTCCCAAGTGCTGGGGTTAAAGGTACGCACAACCATATTCAGTGTTTCCCTGTTTTTGACTCTGGAACTTATTCTACTTTGATATAGGTTTATTGTCACCCAAAATTCTGGGTATACCCTTTACTTAAAAATTGTTTGTTTATGTGTGTTAGGAACACACATGGCATTACAACCTGTGGGAACTGATTTTTTCTTTCCACCATGTGGGTCCTGGGGACAGAACTCAGATCACCAGGCTTGGTGGTAGGCATCTTTACCTGCTGAGCCATCTTCCCGGCTCGGGGCATACTCTTTTAACTTGAAAACACCCTTAGGTTCTGACAGTTTTGTTTTTTTTTTTCTTCATTTCAGGAATGCTTTCAGTCTATCCATGCTCTGGAAACATTACTTAGATACAAGACAATCTAATCTTCCAATTTTCTTTCATTATTTTCTATTTTATCTTTTTGCTCTATTTTCTGGGATATTTATTCAAGTGTATGTTTCAGCCTTTTAAGAAAGATTTTATTTATTTTATGTGTACAAGTGTTTTGCCTGCATGCATTTAAGTGTAATCTTGTATGCAAGTCTCAAGAAGGCAAGAAGAGAGCATCAAATCTCTTGGAACTGGAGTTATGGACAGCTGTGAGTCACAATGTGAGTGCTGGGAACTGAACCCAGGTTCTTTGTAAGAGCAACCAGTGCTCTTAACTGCTGAGCTATCTCTCCAGCCCCCGTCCCAACTTTGAGATTTTTCTCCCTTTTTTTTTTAAAAAAAAATTTATTTTTATTTTTTGTGTATGAGTATATTGCCTGCATGTATATGTAAGTGCACCTGTATAATGTAATGCCCTCAGAGTTCAGAAGAGAGTAAGTGATTCCCCTGGAACTGGAGTTATTGATGACAGTTTTTAGCTGCCATGTGGGTGCTGGAACCCTGTCTTCTGTAAGAGCAGCCAGTGCTCTTAACCACTGAGCTACCTCTCCAGCCCCCTTTTTTTGAGATTTTTGTAACTATATAGTATGGCAGTGCCATATAAAAAAAGACCACCTCTTGGAATCCTTGAACAAAGAGAGGGCCCAATCTGTTCTCATTTTACTCAGAATTGTTCTGAACAAACGGCCTCCTCCTATATTTATTGAACAGAACATCAGTCAGGGTTGGGGAAGGAATAAGGAACTTTGTCTCTAAAAACTCTTTAACTAGAGTTTACAAGAGAAGGAATTATTTTTCTGATCCTACTGACTAGAACAGCATGCAAAACCAAACACAGTACCTTTAATCCTAGCACTCAGGAGGCAGAGGCAAGCAGATCTCTGTGAGCAAGGCCAACCTGGATTACATGGCCAGTTCCAGGCCAGCTGGGCCAACAGGGAGACCCCATCAAAAGTCCAAAAAAAATTAAAATTGAAAAAAATAAAATGGCTTTCCAGGAGTGGTGGCACATGCCTTTAATCCCAGCACTCAGGAGGCAGAGGCAGGCGGTTCTCTGTGAGTTCCAGGCCAGCCTGGTCTACATAGTGAGTTCCAGGCCAGCTGGGGCTACAGGGGAGACACTGCCTCAAAAAGATCAAATAAATAAATAAATAAATAAAATGGCATAGTATTTGTGTAGAACCTTCCCATCTACTCCCAGTCTCTACATTATTTAATATACCTAGTAACATGTAAATGCTGGGTAGTTATTAAAATATACTGACTCAGATCTATCTATGAATTCCAGACCAGCCTGGCCTATATAGCAAGTTCCAGGCCAGTCAGGGTTATATAGTAAGCTAGAGAGATGGCTCAGCAGGTAAAAGCACTGGCTGCTCTTGCAGAGGACCTGGTTCAGGTCCCAGCTCCCACATGCTGGCTAACAACCATCTGTAACTCAAGTTCTAGGGGATCGGACCCCTTCTTCTGACCTCTGTGGGCATTGCATATACGTGGTGCATATACGTGGTGCACTTGCATGCAGGCAAAACACTAATATACATAACCTTAAAAAATTGTTTTAAAAGCCAGGTGTGGCGGCACATGCCTTTAATCACAGCACTTGGGAGACAGAGGCAGGCGGATCTCAGTGCATTCAAGGCCAGCCTGGTCTACATAGTGAATTCCAGGCCAGCTGGGGCTACAGGGAGACCCTGTCTCAAAAAGACAAAAAAAATAAGTAAATAAAGTACTAAGTAATAACGACAATAAAATAGGCTGTACATGTTATAGTATAGAAAAACTTTTTTGTAAATATTTGATACCTACTGGTTGAATCTATGGGTATGGAACCTACCATTATGGAGGGCTGGTTATATCTGGTTGCATCATATGTGAAAATTTCTTAATTATCTTTTATAGAAACCACATTTTATGCAGGCTGTTTCTTTTCTGAGACAAAAATCTCATTTATATAGTCCAGGCTGTCCTTGAACTCACAATCTTCTTGCCTTTGCCTCCAATGTGCTGAGATTACAGGAGTACACCACCACTCCTAATTTTGTGATGAGAGATTTTTTTTTTGTATGGTCTTGGATTCCTCAAAATTGCTTTCTTGCTTGGAATCTTTTGCTGTGAATCTGGTGATCTGTGATGTTTCTTTGTATTTCAGAATAAGACTTTTAAAAACTAATTGGGCAGAGGAAAGAAAAAACTAATTGGGGTAGAGTACATACCTAGCAGGTGCATTCAATTCCCAGCACCAAACAAAAACAACCAAAAGAAGTAGAAGCCACACTGGAAGTGGAGGTAGTATTTATCAAAATCAATCTTAGGCTCTGGTTAGCAATATCTTTAGGTCTTTTGTTACTAAACCTCAGATTTCTTATATCTATATGCAGAGAAAACATTTTGTTTTAAGAGTCTGACTGCTAACATCCTGAGACTTGAGTAAAGGAAAGAACCTAAAGGTTTCAATAATCAGTATGTAAATTTTTACCTTTCCCTGTTTGGGGGTATATAGCATGTTTACCAACCCTATATGCAGTCCTCCCCAAGGCAGTCATGTTTTATTCCACCCTGTATGCAGTCCTCCCCAAGGCAGTTATGATTTATTTTCCAAAGAGAAGGGAGATTTCTGGTCAAGAGTTGACAATTCAATTGATCCTGCTCTCAAGGTAACGAGTACCATCAATTCTTGAGATTTTTTGGTGGTGCATTCTTAGCTTTCTCCATTGGGAACCTGGTAACCTGGTTCAGTTCACTGAATCACTTCACCCACTTCTTAGCATAGAGAAGTTAGTTGTCATGATCTCTTTGCTACCTCTGCCTTTTTAAATTTATTATTTTCAAAAACAATCTTGTCCTGTTCTCTTTCTGAGGTATCATGAGGAAGCATAGAAAAATTAATGAATATTCCAGCAGAGGGCGGCGTAGGGAGCTAATCTCAGAAAAAGCTGGGCATGGTAATACATGCCTGTAAATCCCAGCACTTATAAGGCTGAAGTAGGATTGCCTCTAGGCCAAGATTAGTCTGGCTACAGTATAAGACTGTATCTCAACAAAACAGTAGTAGTATGGGCAGGGCACCGTGATGCATGCCTTTAAGTCCCAGCACTTGGAAGGCAGAGGCGGGCAGATCTCTGTGAGTTGGAGGCCAGCCTAGTCTACATTCAGAGTTCTAAGCCAGCCATGGCTATATAGTAAGAACATTCAGAGTTCTAAGCCAGCCATGGCTATATAGTAAGACCCTATCTCAAAACAACAGTAGTAGGAATAATAGATCAGTAAGTAAGCTGGATTCCATTATGAATTTAGGATTGTTTTCACTTAGCTTTCCAGATACTTACCGGACACTTGTAATCTCTAGCTCTTTCATGTTTCAATGTGTGCATTATAAAGGCATATCGTCTCTGAAAAACCATTCCACATTCCCCACATTTATGGGACATTTCTTCAGTGTTCTCCTTAGCATCCCTTTTTGGTTGTTTCATCTTTTTCCCTCTTTGAACCAATTTCTGAGCCACCTAAACAGGCAGGAAACACAACAGAGGAAAACACATTTTCTTTTCCCTTTTTTGAGACAGGCGCTTGCAATGTAGCCCAAGCTGGACTGGAACTCACTATGTATCCCAGGCTGGCCTTGAATTCATGGCAATCCTCCTGCCTCACATGTATCACCACCATGTCCAGCTTAATTATCATTTTCAAAGTCGTAAGTCATGTTACAAATTTCTAATAAAAATACTGAGTTCTTATTAATATCATATTTAAAATATTAACCTGCTTCCTGTACATCTATCTTCCCTCCCAAGTAACTTTTGTTGTAGGCCTAAGTTCATTACTAGAATACCATCATGTTAAACCTAAAACTACCAAAGACAACCTTTTTTATATCCTACCTGTTGAACTGCTGACTTGGGAATGGCTTTCCGCTTCTGTAGCTTTTTCTCCATACCCTTGTGTAGTCGGACGTATCCCCCTTCATTAACAGACCGCTGCCGAAGCCTGCTTCTGTAAGTATCATCTTCAGGGCCAGAGTCTGTCTTTGCTGTTGGCACAATTAGATTTTCTTGATCTTTTAAAGGTTGGTCAAGGCTCTGACTCTGATTTGGAATGTCTTTGGCACAGATATCCTCAGCTGATGTATCATTTCCCACATCACTGTCCTCTTGAGAGATATTGATTACATTCTCTTTTGAGAGTTTAGGATGAATATTAGAAACTGTGCCATCTTCTCTGATGATTTCAGTTTCTAGCTCTGGTTGGTTGGTTTTTGTCACTAAGTTAGCAGTTTCCATTTCAGAATGGGAGTCAGTTATACATCCTACAGATGACACAGTAGCTTCAGCCTCTGAAGACACCTGAGGTGCAGGCTGTCGTCGTAGCTCTCCATTCTGCCCAGCTTCTGGTAATTCTCCATTTACTAGGAGTACAATTTCACAATGCCCAAGTTCATTAGATAAAGCTGCGGTTCCTTCAGTCCTAGTCACAGGTGGTGCTGAGGTTCCATTCTGTGCTGGTAAGTCCTGGGTAGATGCAACTGTTTGTACTTCGCCTTTCTTATACACTGTTAGCTGCTTTTCTTCCATTAGCTTATGCACACTTTCACAAATTTCTAAAACTTCTGACATAAAAAGATGGCGCGCTAAGACAGCTACATCAGCCATGCTACAGAAGTCAAAACTTAGTACAGAAGTATAGGCAAATTCCAGCAAAGGAAGGAAGCTTGCTTTACAAAAACCTGTGTGTAACAAGAAAAGCAAGGGTGGGGGGAGGTCAATTACCAGAAAACCACTCTATGAGAACAATATAATAGACAAGAGAAAAACATAATGAAAAGTCAATTCTGATCAGGTATTCTACAATTAACACTAAATGTTCTTTTAACTTCTGGTTACTTATTAAGCCTTGACTAACTCACTTCTATGAGCTGAGTCTCTACACACCTAATACGGAAAGTAATATCAGACTTACTACCTCAAGAGTTGTTATAAGGCAACCATTTTCAAACTGTACTCAGAATCATGGGAGTTCCTCAATTTCCCTCAAGAAACAGTTGCTGGAAAACACACCGTAAAGAGCAGGGGTAAGAAAGTGACTAGACAGAGATCAACCAACCTGTCCCCTCACCTCTCTCACTGATTATAGCTATATAATAGTAGCAGTCCATATAGGTGTGAACAAAGTTTTCTTCTACAAGTTCACTTAAAAACTAAAATTTAGGGCCAGTGAGATGTCTCAATGGTAAAGACACTTGCTGCCAAGCTTGATGACTTGAGTTTGATTCCCAGAACCCACACTATAGAGAATGGACTCCCCCAAGTTTTCTCTGACCTCCAAACACATGCCTTGGAACATGGGCACCCATACAACTCCACCCCCCCGACTAAATAAATATTCTTTTTTTAAAATCCTAAAATTTGCCAGGTGTGGTAGTGATGGAATCAAATCAGAGCACCCCAGATTAAAGTGAACTGAAACTAAGTCTCCCAGGCTATATCCTGGGAAACTGTACAAGGAAGTAAAAGGAAAATAATTCTAACTATAGAGAAGAAAAGATGACCTTTTCATGCTTCCTTAAGCTGGAAAAATACCTGAAAAATCCCACTCCCACTTCTGCTGCTTGTGGTTTGTGGTTTCTGTCTATATAAGCAAACTTCTAAGCTAAATCAGCACTTCCCCTTTTGATCAAGGTGGAAGGCCGTCTATAGACGAAATAATAAATCTTCTTGCTATTGCATCTTCTGGTTTGAGGACTGAGTTATTGGGGTGCGGCCTCCCGAGAACGTAGGGTACCCCAGTCTGGGGGGGTGGGTCCTACATTTGGGGGCTCGTCCGGGATTTGATCGCCCCCAGACCCATTTCCTCAGATCAGCAGGAGGTAAGAATATTTGTCTTGTGGTTTGTCTTGGTCTTAATGTCTGTCAGTCATTTCCTGCTTTGGGAACGTTCCGTCTGAACAGTTGTGCCTGTATAGGACCCGTAAGTCTGTATTCTGGGAACCAAGGGGAGTGGCAGACGTGCCCAGAGACCCCAGGTTCCAGCATTCTGGCCCTAGTGACCAGAGTGATCTGAAGTGAGGAAGACAGTGTCTCCTCACCTCGGGAGAAGGGAGATTGGCTTGGCTACTCCCCTCCCGATCTGTTCTTTCGGTTCTGAGTCAGAGAGTGCGCCGAGGATTTTTGTTGTTTATCTGTCTGTATTTGGGGATCCTGAAAGTAAGAATGGTGAGTGCTGTGTGTGTCTGGGTGTAAAAAGGACCGGTCCACTTGAATGTGATGTAGTATGGTGTGTGTGCGTATTTAATAACGTATTAGTATCTTAAAAGGGGAAGGTCTGGTTTTGTATTTTTCTCTACACTATTTTAAAGCCTTCTCTGTCTTCTTTTCCCTTTACTCTTGGTCCAAGTCTTCGCGAGGGACCGTTAAAGGCGAAGGAGCAATTGAGGTTTTCTGGTTAGGGCCACTCCCTGACGTAAACCAAAGGCTCTTAGCCCTCTTGGCGGACCCCGACTGCCCATACGGGTGGAGACAGGACGGTCTTTCTATATCTTCCTTTCTCTCTAGCCACTAAAAAGCCCCGCGGGCACGGGTCGAGCAAGTAAGAGCCACAGGGTGCTCACCGCTAAAAGACTCCCATGAAAGGATAAGGGAGTCCCAGATATGAATCCCAGATAAATTCACGTCCACCACAGAAGAAAAACTGGGAACCGATAGGCAA